GGGGGGGGGGGGGGGGGCTGTATGCACCGGCTTGCGTAGAGACTGGGACCAACGATAAACGATACTTTGTATCCGTGGGTGTAGCGTGGACAAATTTGCACGGTTGTGTCGTTCTTTCGTTGGACAGAGCTCGGAAACACGTGCAGGCTGCGGGGAGTGTCGTCAATGTCGTTGCTTCCTTCACGCTCGTACACCGCCCACCCTGTCTGAACCTTCCGGCCCAGCCTTCCGCCATTCAAGCGCCTAAAACCAGCTGCACGAAAAAACTAATGCATCTCCCTGGCCTCAGCCTGATCTCAAACCCAGGACATACTGAATAAAAAACAGCAAGACGAAAGGTTTAAAATACGGGGCGAAAACGAAAACACGGAAACGCCTGCCACACACACGAAAACATCGTATCTCACCACGGTGAGAATGGGCAACGGTTGCGCCCCTGCCTTCAAGACGAGGTCATCAAGGCGGACAGCAAAGTACTCGGACACCGAAGAGGGGCCGCAAATCCCCACCAAGTCGACCACGTTCGGGTGTCCGCGGACCTGACAACACGCGGCGCATTGTGGTCGATGTCGTGGGCGTAGTTCGTACTTTGTCGCTGCTGTTGTGGTCGTTGTTGTGGAGGTTGTTGTTGCTCTTGTTACCTTTCGCGAACCGTGAGACCAACCAGCGCTGACGAGCCTAACCAATCGATTTTGGCTGCATCCGGTGAACGCTCTCCGCCCTTCGGGTGACAAAAATACTCGTTGATCTCTTGACCCCTATCCAGCAAAACACCCCTGTCTACGACGCTCTCCACCCGTCCCAACAGGCGCACGAGACACCAAGTTTTACGAGGAACAGAGAGGGTGACCAACGATCAAGGTATGTGAGGTACGCAAAATAAAAAACTTTCATCAGCGCAAAGGCGCTACTGAACAGAACCGACAGCAGGTCGCATCTATCCAACCCACCCGGGTCCTCATCGTCGTGTGCCAGGCAATAGGAAACCCGCGTTGAAGATAAGATGCGTATGCTGCGAGGGGAAGGATGCTGTTGGAATGGCTGACCAGCTAGTGCGAAAAAAAAATAAGCCCTTGTTGAATCGCTGCTGCTTGCGTGGAAGGGAAGTTTTGAACATGGACTCCGGCGGATTCAAAAGTTGTCCTGCCAACGCCTATAATAGCACACCCTCCGCCTCCCAGAAATTTTCCACAATACTGCCACAAGAATTGGTCGGTCTACAGATTTTTCAACAGGCTGACCAGGTACTTCCAGGTCGCACTACTCAATAAAAATCGTGGAACCGTACTCAATGCCACCGCGTGCAACCCCCCCCCCCCCCTCCCTGGACTAGCGACTAC